AGTAGACCACCCATTCCGGTGACTCGCGCGAAGCAGAAGCAGTTGTGCGGTGGCGAGTTTATGTTTTCGGGTGGTGGTTTGTGTGGTGGTGGACCGACCATTTCGTGGTGGTGGCTGTAGCAATTGGATCAATAAAATGTGTACCCACTGTCGTTTGAGTGTGAATTTGATTTCCCCCATGTGAATTTGTGATTTTAATGGTGTTTGGGTGGTGGTGCGGTGGTTGGAGCTGGCGGCAGTTGTTTGAATCTGTGTTGTGTTTTGTGACCAATTGGGATCGCATAATGGATTAACTGTAACATTAAAATTCGACAATTTGTGACTAAATATTAATCTGAGCTATGTGCAAAAATATTTTGTATCCTGTGCTGTGATCATTTGAAAATAACCCGTGACTGTGAACTAAATTTTGAGTTGTGACCCGGACTGCGACCTATGACCTGAGTTGTGACTTGGGCTGTGACTTATGAATTGGACTGTGACCTGAATTGTGACCTGAGCTGTGACTTGTGTCTTGAGTTGTCGGAATCGGAGCAGTCGCCGGAACGATCGCCGCAATAGCTGCCGGAACGGTGGGGGTGATGTAGATGGGGGTGGGTTAATTTTATAGATATGTGTGTGTGTGTGTGTTAAAATATCTGATTTTTAAAATGTGAAAGTTGTTTTGTTATTTTTGAAATATAGTAAAGATAAAGTAGGAAAAATGAATTTTTCCCAAAAAAATAATGTGTACAAGAAAATTTCCGAAAATAACAGTAAGAAAAACTAAAAATTAATCGCCTTTTTATAGTAACAGTAAGATTATTTTCGGAGATTTTGTTTGATAGTGACGGAATCTTGGAAACTAATTAATTTTTAATAGAAAGAATTGCAGCTAAGATCCCAAACCTTTTAAAATATTGTAAACTATACCCAAATCTTTTATTTCAGTTGCGCCGGGACCCATTAATTGACTACAAAAAATTTTTATTTAAAAAAAAAAAAAATTGACATATTTTGACCAATTAAGTGAATGGTAAAATTGTAACTTTACAATTTCTTAAATAAAACAGTTAAAATAATTAAATAAAAAACCAAAAAGAAATGAGAAAAGAGAAATATGCAATCTACACTACCCCACCAATCCGTCCACTTCATCTTTCCCCGCCACCCCCACTCTATCCCAACCCACCCCTTATCCATATAGTACAAATCTTCGTTATCGTAAATGAAATGTATACTCTTTTTTACCTCATTATCATACCATATAACGACATCACGTTGAACAGTTTTAAAAAACACACTTTCTTGCCAACAATATTTTTGAAAACAATGGATTGTCAAAATGAATGTCAAACTTTGAGTGCACGTTTAGCATTGTCAACTAAAATTATTTCGAAGAATTATGTTTACTGGGACACCGTTAACACTAAATCGAATTCCATTCCATGGCCCTGTCCTAAAATTCTTTTCTGATCCCTTTCGAAGAACAAATTGAGGCATCCCAAGATGATCAATTCCGTAAGTAATGTCTCCAGGAGCAGGGCATTGTCCTCAGTGGCGGACGCAGAGTATTAAAGTTAGGGGGCACAATCGAACTTGAAAAGAAGTTGGGAGAATTTTACAATCGAAAATTTACGTCCAAAAAAATCATACTCTCACGTAATTTTGCATCCGAAAATTTACATTGGATATAACTTTTTCGGATGTAAATTTATCGAAATTCAGATTTATTGTGATTTTGCCCCTATTTGGTAGAGATTAAAATTAATTTTTTATTAAATTTTAATGAAAGTTAAACAGTTATAAATTCCATGAAATATGTTATTAAAATCAATTGTTAACTTTGATTTAAATTAAAATTTATATTTCAATTGATAGCAAATGTGACTTTTGAAAAAAAAAAAAAGAATTTCTCAAAAGTTGGGGGCACGTGCCCCCAGGACCCCCCCGGGTCGCCCGTGATTGTCCTCTTTCCATGACGTTAAACCTGTTTGCGTCGGTGCTCAAGTTCCATTCCATTTTCCTCCCTGGTAAAAGTGGATTAGATGGTCATCATTTCTGTATAGTCATCCTTTCTTCCGAGAAAAAGGGTTGCTGGATTCTAATAATAGTGCAACTGACACTGGTTCAATTCTCGAAGAATTCGATGACCATACAACGCCAATTGTAGCATTCAGGAGAATAAGATATCCATAAGGTCTAATAGTTAGAAGAGCACTTCTACATGTACAGAAATTTTTCTATAAAACATACAGAATACACACATCAAGGTGGAACCCCTATTTTTGTAATATTTAAATCACATGGCGCCTAGCCCCATGTGAGAGTCGATAATTTTTACGGAAGGATTTCTTCTGTACAAGGAGAAAAATTCTAGTTAGAACTCTAGATGAATTCCCTAATGGATTTTCCCTATTTGTAACCCACACGACGACTTTCGGAAATTTCTTGTACCATATTCCTATGTACTATTTGTGTAACGATCCAAATTTTTAATATTTCAGTCGCTACCCAAAGTTTCTTTAAAAATTTAGCGTAACAAATAAATATTTATAAATTTATGTAAAATGATTTACTCAAGGTCAAAATTTTAACGCTCTTTAGTAACAAAAAGGAAAGACTAAAGATTTATCTACATAATATTTTATTCGTATATATTTGGAAAGATCCAATAAATTTATATCTAAAATTTATGAATTAAATCGTAATTCGACACTTACTAAATAACGAAATAGATGCGGTTTACAGGCAAGAGGCAAAGCCAAGGAAACCATAAATAATAAAATTGGTTTTTGACACAACTTCCTCTAATTTATGTGAAATTTAATTAATTCATATTACCTATGATTTTTAACAAACAGTACGTGCCATAATTTTTACAATTGACAAGAAATCCAAAATAATGTCATAGTCCCTCATCGAATTTACTTTATTAACTTCAATAAATCTAAGCACAACGAGAGCGCATCATCGCCTATCGATCAACGACCCGTTGTAACTTGCGAGAGGTAAGGAAAAATGTAAGTATATGAGAATACTCAGAAGGACAAGAGCATTGTGCAATCTCGAATAAAAATATCAATTCATATATCAAAATAGTCATATCGTCATCTTTAGAAATTGGTAAGAGCTCAAAATATATCATATCTTTGGTACCAGATGTTCATAACGTATCGTATCATATCTTTCATTAGCAAACATTTATCAACATGAAATAATAAAATTAAACTAGACAAAATTACTTGCACCTCGTTATCCTATCTCGATAGATCAAACGAATTTTTGAAAGAAAAATATGATTGCATGTTCCAATTTTTCAAAATCTCTACCTCGGTGAATATGGGTACGTGTATGCTTTGAAAATAATTTCTAATAGATGCAAATTATCTTCATGTTTTCTGATTTCACAATAAACAAATAGTAAGATTTCGTTTTACTGAAAGAAAATATATAATTGAGGAAATTTTGATGTAAAACTTTGATTATTCTAATGGCATATTCATAGTATAGTTTAATTGTTGAATCCCAATTGATTTAGGGATTAACTACAAGAATTTTATTAATTATCAATAATCAATTATTCCATCACTTATCAATATAATTTGGATTAGCTTCATAAATAATCCTCCAATAGAATTTTAGAAAAAAGAAACGTAAAAATAAAGAATGATTTGGGATGTGAAAAATAAATCTATCTTAGTTTAATTAGGATTAATATTACTTTATCATAATCCAATTAAGATTAAAATTCAACTTTTTAAAAGAGGATAAATATTTGTCTTACACGATGCCAAAATTCTTAAATCCTTAACCAACTCATTTAATTACTAATCAAAGATAATTTCTTTCAACTTCAATAACTCGGGCGTAACTTATTCGAAATAACTATTTCTCGAATCCATGACGCGTCATTTCATACGAACTACAAAACGAGCCCAAAATTGATATAATTATCATTGCTCTATCAAAATCTAATTATTTGACTCAATTAAAAATGAAATTAATACTATTTCACTTCAGTTCCCCAGCTTATCAAAATTATAAAAATATAGTGTTTAGAACACAAAATTCTATAAAATTATTGGGTGAAAAAGCCTAATTCAAAGCTTTGGCCTACCATAGTCTTGCCATTGTGATGGTTGCATTTGAGGTTAAAATATGGGTAATTACAAAAAATCAGGCATTTAATTTTTCAAGTTCAAAATTCAGGTGTGAATTTTATCTAATTAAAAATCAGGTATTGAATTAATAATTAAATATTATACCCTCCTACCTAATCCCAAACAAACCCTAAATCATTTTTCTCTATCCTCATTCCTCATCCTCATCATATTCTCTCTCTTTAATTTCTTTCAACTTCAATAACTTGTGCGTAACTTATTCGAAATAACTATTTCTCGAATCCATGATGCGTCATTTAATACGAACTACAAA